GAAACGTTGCGCCAAACCTGATGCTGAGTATACCCATGCCTTCAAAATAATTTGTGACCGATGGTTTAAAAATATTCTTACCCATAGCCTCGTAGAATCTAAATTTGCGAGTTCAAACTCAATAAAACATGAAATAACAAACGATCAAGCCTTTTAGTAAGAATTAGTAGGTGACCCTTCATCTAAGCTCCATTTGGATTGCTTTAATGTAATGATCCTACTTCTACTAAGGGTTTAAATATCAACAAAACATTTCAAACCTAGTATCAAATAGCTTTACTAAAATCTTATAATACTAAATTAAATGTTGAAGCTAGACCACACTTGACTATCTCATTACCCCGCAATAAGCACACCCACCACCAAAAATGACATTTCCCTTGCCAAAAAAAAAAAACTTGTACAAAGTTGATTATTTAAAAGTACTAAATAAGTAACGAGTAAAAAACAAAAAAGCACGCAACGTGATTATGATATACATTACTTCCAAACATATGGACCTGCTTTATAAGCTTCAGTTTCATACTACCTCAGCTTGACTTTGAGCATCCATATACTTGTGTAGTCGTATGTTATGAAATTTTTTGGAAAACAAGACATTTAGATTTAAATTATCCAAAAATCTCAAAAAATGATAAGGAATCAACCCAAGAGAAATATTTGGAATGGATTAATTTGATGATTAAGATCAAAAGAAAAGAAAACTTATTTCTAAACTTATGGTACGAATCACTCCACAAGATAGTTTGATCATGACTGCTTGAATGATTCTAGCATGCAAACCTAAACACAATAAATACAAATGAACAAGCTCATGGCTTTACTTTCATTTTAATATTCAAAATCCTTCTACTAAATCAACAACATGGATAACTATTTATAATTTTGGAAATAAACTTAAACTCAAAGGTGTAACTCTGATGCCCATCAATACCATAATGACTAATTAGTTAGCAACTTAAAATATTAAAAATAATACTATAGAATTGAAAAATACAATATAACCTCCCTAACTTAAAAAATGTATGGTACAATCTTGTCATCCACAATGAAGTTTTTGTGGTATGATTAAGGCACCTTATTTCATATCACGTACTCAACAAAAAGAAAAAGGAGAAAAAAAGAGAAAAATAATTCATAATTATACGTGTACGAATAATTGGTGACTACGAGAAATAATTCGTTATTGTTACTGCCTCACATATGCATGGGTCTTACAAACAAAAAAGTAGTCAGTGATATGGTGTAATAAAGAAAGTTTTCATACATAAAACAATATTCATAACTCGTGATTCGTGTAATTGCACTCTTATGGCAATGGAGTAGGGATTGTGTGACATTTGTTCTAACCCGAAAAACAAGTCAATCACATGGAAGTTTGACTTTGCAGACAACCTTGATATATGATCGAGCATCGGGTCATGTTTGAAAGAAATATTTTAGAAAACGCGAGTAAGAAAATGTGCTCAAAACAATTTGAAAAAAATAAATTTTATAAGCTAAAAAAAAATAAACAACAGCCATAACTTTGATAGCATATAACCCGGGTAGAAAGAATTTGACAACTAGTCACATCTCCCCTCTAGTATATTTTGGGGTGTTTTAGCCCTGACACATGTAGACATGATTTTGGTGACCGGTCATTCACCATCGTATTGACAGAAGAAGAATATTAAAATCTTATCTAACGTGAAAGCAAGTAAAGAGGGTTTAGAACGGGCATGCGACCATGGACAACATGTCCCTGGCAAGTATGACAGGAACATTCAACACGCAACCACATGGAATACACCTTGAACAAGCATGACAATGACATCCTCTCCAACTCAATTGGTTGACGTCTCTGTCAACCGACTCTTCAAGAAGTCAATGAGATAGGATGAGACTGACTTCAGGTCTCTCGATGCGCATTCATCTGATGTTAGCATTGATGAGACTTTTTCAATCTACCAAGAAATGTTGAAAACCACTTCTCGATTTTTCGACACTTTGCGAAATTCTTCTTCGTTGCATGAGGTCATACCACCTCTTTGTGCTTGGTGTCTTCTTGATCGAGATACTAATGTTTCAAGTTAATGACGTGGACAATAAGACTAGTTCGCATCCATTGGAGCAATTGGATCTTATGTGATGTCTTTTTAAAATTTTATATCCTAAACCCTATTCCCGTTTGTAAACAAACTTGAACAGTACCAACCTGAATGAAATTTCAACTTGTTTTTAATTGTAATGTTGTAGAATGGATAATAAGCAGCTCTCATAGAGGACTTGAAGATTAGGTTGAACATATATAATCGATTTTTGCTCATCTCCACCAAATAATTGATACATGGGTTAATTATGGAATTGACATTGTAATATAGATAGAAGAAAGTGGAGAAATGATGAGAAGATATGGTGTAAGTTATGATTAAAAAGGAGAACCTTAGAAAATGCAAAAATCCCAACCCCACTAAATACACAAACGACACAAATTTCAGTGTCATCACTTCATTTGGATTTAAAGTCAATTCAAGAACGCCCATTTCCAACCATACAAAGTGCTTATTCCTTCGACTTTTGGAAACACACGTCCTTACTTTCCCATTTACACGTTTCAACAAAACCTTTCCCTATTAAATATTTGACAATCTACTTGATATGGATAACCCCAATTTGGTTTGGTCTAGTTTTTATTTCTATGCTATAAAAAACTAATGGATCTAATAAGTTAGGCCTTCTAGCTATGAAATTAGATCAAGTTAATACCATAAATGGATACCTCAAGGAAGTTAATGAACTTGCTTCCATTTCCAACACCTTAGATCGATAGCAAACTTATTGTAATAGAAATATATTAGAACGATAACTTGAATGATGTTTACGTAATATATATCTATCTCCTTTTGAAATTTTTAAAAAGAGATTGTGATAATCTCTACTATTTTTTTTTTAATTTTTTATTTTTTTGATAACTTTAAACTTATCTTCTCATCTATGGGTGGTATTTGTTTGGTTGTCCATTCTTTGTAGATTAGCTAATAGGGAGCAAAGCACATGTGCACTATGCAAATTTATGAATATTTTAGGGAACATGATATCTTTAAGATCACAATGGCTAAGATTTTCAATTTTAGAGATGGATCCATAATGTACACAAAGAACCCAATGGATTAAACAAACCGTTGTTGGGGTTTTGATGGCCTTTAGCCTAAATGAGGATGGGACATGTGATAAGATAATTGTAGCGATTTGATTTTACGGTTCGATATTGTTACTTTCAACATAAGCTTTCATGGCTTTGCTTTGGGTTTTCTCCAAAAACTTATAAATCCATGATCATTTTCTAAATTAATCGAGGTGAGACTCTCTCTCAAAAATCCTCCCCTAGAACAAATTACAGAGCCTCGCATGAGGTTTATGGAACCCTTGAATAGCCTTTCCTTAATTGAGCCTCGACTCCTTTGGAGTCCTAACAAAATACACTTGAGTCACTTTTGTCCACTCTGAGCTAAGCTTCATGTTTTTGCTCTGGGTTTCCCCAAGATGACTCGTACCAAATGTAGATGTATTCCTTATTTGTAAACCTATGATCATCTCCTAAATTAACGGACTCCCTTCTAACCATCCTCAACAATTATTGCATGCATTTTGATAATTTTTTTTCATAAACAATTAGCTTACTCTGTTTATCTCATTATTAAAATCAAAATTTGAGAAAATGAAAGAGATTTTTTTCATAATAAAACAAAATTATAGTCCAAATTGGGATCCCATTTACAACATTGTTAAACATAAAATATGTTTACAAATAAATTTATAGAATTTAAAATACAACTTCAAATTAAGGTAAAATAAAATTTCGAACACAAGTTGAAAACATGCTAACATCCACCTCATGGTAGTTGGAAAAAGTTGAATACTCAGCAAATAGCATCTCTAATGATGTAAACATGCATACACACGAAAACATGCAACATGCAACTGTGGGGCTTGAATCCCAACTATCGAAACATGTCATTTTTTTTCGGTAGTCAAGTGGACAATTAATCTATCTTACTAAGTTGCTCCTCTAGTGGTGCACAAATGTGAGTCTTGAAAGACTTTACCACCCACTTGTAGGAATTGATACCCGGTTAGTGGAGTCAAACCTCACCATCAAGCTCCTCATGAAAATAAATGATTAATTGCCATAATAATATGTAAGGTATAACTAACAATAATATAACTCTACTTTTTGTGAGAGTTATCAAAGCTCACACCTAATCAGTAAAAAATTCTAACATAAATTATTGTAGGGTTAGTATTACACCAAGAATTTATTGACAAGCGAATTTTCTAGTTGGCTTTGTTGATATAGTTTAGATAGGGAGAAGACACGAGAGGATAGGGCTGAACTTTGAAATCCAAGGCTTTGTTCTCGAAACTCCTTTCCACCTCCCCGTCACATACTCATTTTTTGAAAGCCAGAACATTCGCATAGAGGAGCATCTGTATCACACATGTGTTGAGGATTGTTGGGAGGGAGTCCCACATTGGATAATTTAGAGGATGATCATGGGTTTATAAGTAAGGAATACATCTACATTGGTATGAGACCTTTTGGGGAAGCTCAAAATAAAACCATGAGAGCTTATGCTCAGAGTTGACAATGTCATACCATTGTGGAGAGTCGTGATTCATAACATGGTAGCAGAACTATGACCTTAACTTAGCCACGTCAATAGAATTCTCAAGTGTCGAACAAATGGTGTTGATTAATGGGAGGTTGTTCCATGGCAGGAGCTCATCTACATTGGTATGAGCCCTTTTGGGGAAGCATATCATGACAACCAACAATCATTAAGAATTTCGTGATTCCTTACAACATGCTTCTCCACTAATGACAAAATGACCTTCGAGACTCTTCTAGGAATTCCTACACCTATAAATTTGAAGTAGGAAGGCCTAGAGATCATAAATCAAGGATGGGATAGGTAGAGGCATTCCAACCCAACATACTCCGGTGAATGGGTCAAATGAGATAGGGAGGGGGAGTGGGATAGAGGAAGTCTAGTAATATGTGACTATAGGGTTTACTCTTCTTCATGTTTCATTATTCATACGTGTCAAGTGGCTATCCACCATCCAATCGGCTATGGAGGGATGTTTCAGGCATTCCAACCCAACATACTCCGGTGAATGGGTCAAATGAGATAGGGAGGGGAAGTGGGATAGAGGAAGTCTAGTAATATGTGACTATAGGGTTTACTCTTCTTCATGTTTCATTATTCATACGTGTCAAGTGGCTATCCACCATCCAATCGGCTATGGAGGGATGTTTCAACAAGCGAGTAAACTGTTGCAAAACTGAGGTAGGTCAATCATTGATAACTGTCTAAATGTAGAGTCATTTCAAGTCTTTTTGTAGTTAATATTGCACTCTTATTCACTATTTTCTCATTTATTCCCCATTTATTCTACTTAGTGAGCATGAAATCGTTTATTGCGATCCAACATGAAAAAAAATATGATTTTTCATAAATCGATCTTAATTGTATATTTAATTGAGTTATGTGGTAAAATTTCAGACATTTATGCTAAACCACGTGGGAGTAGCAAATTTGGAAACAAATGGGGGAGGACATGGAAATTTTAAATCCACATCAGCAGTCCAAGTGGGCCATTGACTACCAATGAGGAACATCTTATGTGGACAACTTATTCCTTTTCAGCCCTAAAGAGGAACTCATGCTCAATATAGAAGGAAAAGGAAGACCAAGAGGAGGGGACACATTTTTTTTTGGGTAAAAATCGAATTACACAGCAGCAGCTCTACTGCAGTGAACTGTTGTGGAACCAGAGAAGAAGAAGAAAACCCTAATCCAGCAGCTGTTGACAGCAGAAGGAAAAGGAGACAAACGAGGATTGATTAGGGCAAAGAGGTGGACGTGAGAGCTCAAGAGAAAGGAACTTCCATTGACGAACGGCAACAAACCGGGATAACTCTTTATTTCCTTATTCTCTTTCCTTATTCCATCAATTTTACATGATGAAGATGCAGATTTCTCTGTTTAATTCAGTTTGTATGGAGAGCTAAACTTAATAGGGGAGGCAAGAGAGTTTTATATAGTTTAAGTATGTTGACGGTATGATTTTAGTTTATTAAAGAGTTGCTGTTAATGATTTACATGTATGTTTAATTAGCTACTTTACATACATAGTTGTTCTCTTATTCGGGAGAAGAGAGGGAGCAATGAAATCCTCTTTAATACTCTAGTTCCATAGCAAGGAAACTTGAAGGGTAATAGAAGGGTTATGAATAATTCTTCTCCTAGAGCCTTGTTAATAGAAATTACAACGATTATGGAAATAATCACCATTCATGACCCTCGGAAGTGAGCTTGAGAATCTATTAAAAGGAACTAAAATCTACCACAAAACTCAACAACTTATCTATTTAATCTCTCTTAGCCGAACTTTCCTCATTATAGTGGATTTTCTCATCATTTTCTGTTTTCGACAGCAGTGGCACTCTGTTTTAATTTTGTTTAAATAGTTAAAATCTCCAACACCCATTTGAATGTTACCCAAAAACTCACTTAAATTTCCAGCGATAAAATTAACCGAAAAGATATGTTCCCTGTGAAATCGATAATTTACTTATTACTTGCTACTTGTGATAGTGTATACTTGCACTTAGTCTTGTGAAGTTTACGTAATTTTATTATATACATCCACAAGCGATCAAGTTTTTGGCGCCGTTGCCGGGGAACCTAATTTGGTTATTTTACTTGTTGTAGATTTTCGTGAGTTGGAGCAAAAAAGAAGTCATAGGAAGCTGAATTTTCTACTGCTGTATTTACTGCTGAAGAACTGAGTTTACTGCTGCAGAATTTTGTGTATGAACCCACCTACGGGTTTGGAATTTATTTTGGATCCTAAAATAGAGAGAACATTTAGACGAAGGTTGAAGGAGAAAAAGAAAATGACAGAACAGAATATACAGCAAATAGAACTTGGAGCCCAGTTGAATTGGGAGTTTGAAAATCCAGCGATGATGGCTAATCAAGAGAGAATTACTGCCGATGTCATTCATTTAGCAGATGACAGAGAAAGAGCGATCCGAGCATATGCACACCTAGTTGTGGAAGAGCTAAATCCGTGCATTATTAGACCCGAAATGCAAGCAACCACGTTTGAGCTAAAGCCCGTGATGTTTCAAATGTTGCAAACCATTGGGCAATTTCATGGACTACCGTCGGAAGATCCCCACCTACATCTAAAGTCATTTTTTAGAGTTAGTGACTCATTTCGATTTCAGGGAGTTGATAAAGACGTGATTAGACTGAGCTTATTCCCATATTCATTGAGGGATGGTGCTAAATCATGGTGGAATACCTTAGCACCGGGAACAATTGATTCGTGGAATAGTCTAGCAGAGAAATTTTTGATCAAATATTTCCCACCCACTAGAAATGCACGGTTCAGAAATGAGATTGTTGCTTTTCAACAGTTTGAAGATGAGACACTAAGTGAAGCTTGGGAGAGATTTAAGGAGATGCTTAGAAAGTGTCCTCACCATGGACTACCTCATTGTATACAAATGGAGACTTTCTACAAAGGATTAAATATTGCTACTAAACAAGTAGTTGATGCTTCTGCCAATGGGGCCATTTTGTCAAAGACATACAATGAAGCATATGAAATTTTAGAGAGAATAGCATCTAACAATTGTCAATGGGCCGATGTGAGAAGCAACCCAGGGAGGAAGACTCGAGGAGTACTTGAAGTTGATGCTTTGTCTTCTATCAATGCTCAACTAGCTTCGGTGACTAATATTTTACAAAATCTAGCATTGGGGCAAGACTCCATGATCAAAGCACCAGTCCATACAGCTGCTGTAATTAACTAGACAGCAGCCGAATCTTGTGTATATTGTGGAGAGGAACGCACCTTTGATCAATGTCCGAGCAATCCGGCCTCAATTTTTTATGTCGGGAATCAAGCTAATCAAGGCAACCCGAAAAATAACCCCTTCTTAAATACTTATAATCCGGGGTGGAGAAATCATCCAAATTTCTCATGGAAGGGACAAGGCTCATACAACCAACAAATGCCACCTAAAGCAAATTACCCTCCGGGTTTTGGATTACAAAATCAATTGGCTTATAGTTCTCAACAAGTCAACACCCAAGGGAAAGGAATTACCCAAGCTCAATACACATCGGGAACATCTATTGAGAGCCTAATAAAGGAATATATGGCTAAAAATGATGTCGTGATACAAAGTCAACAAGCCTCATTGCAAAATTTGGAAGTTCAAGTAGGTCAATTAGCAACTGAGTTACGAAATAGGCCTCTTGGAAAGCTGCCAGCAGACACCGAAACACCAAAAAGAGAAGGCAAAGAGCAATGTCAAGCAATAGAGTTGAGAAGTGGAAAAAAAATACCCAGCGGGGGAGAAAAAAATGCAGAACAAGGCGACAGCCATTCCCAAGAAACTGCTGATACACAGCAGCGAAATGACGAAGCTGCTGTACAGAAAGAACACAGCAAGGATTATGCAAAAATTAAGGAGCAGCCTAAAATACAAACAACAGCCAGTAGTGGACAAGAGAGCATAACATACACACCATCACCTCCTTTTCCACAAAGAATAAAGAGAAAGAAAGAGGAAGCCCATTTTGAGAAGTTTATGGATATTCTAAAGGAAATTCATATAAACATACCACGGGTGGAAGCTTTGAAGCAAATGCCAAATTATGTGAAGTTCTTGAAGGATGTACTTACTAATAGAAGGAAGTTTGAAGAATTTAAGGTGGTGTCATTGAATGAAGAGTGCAGTGCAATATTGAAGAACAAGATCCCACTAAAGGAGAAAGATCCTGGATCGTTCACTATTCCTGTATCAATTGGAGGAAAGGAACTAGGACGAGCATTATGTGACTTGGGAGCAAGCATCAACTTAATGCCTCTATCTATTTACAAGAAGTTGGGAATTGGAGAGGCTAGACCGACTACAGTCACCTTACAACTAGCCGATAGGTCCATCACTTATCCCGAAGGAAAGATTGAGGACATCTTAATTCAAGTTGACAAATTCATATTTCCTGCAGATTTTATCATTTTAGATTATGAAGCCGATCATGATGTTCCAATTATTTTGGGGAGACCATTTTTAAAGACTGGAAGAACATTAGTAGATGTCTACAAAGGAACCATCACGTTAAGAATGGGTGACCAAAAAGTTGAATTTAACATCAATGACAGCATGAAATATCCAGCAGTGATAGAAGAATGCTCAACAGTGACAGAAGAATGCACATCAGTGTATGAATTGACAGAACAACCAGCGACCGAGGAATGAGATGATGAGGAAAGCGAGCAGGAAGAAGACAGCAGCTTGAATGACAGAATAGAACAGTTAGCAGTTTTAGGTGAATTCAGCAGAACTTTTGAGTCACTAGAATGTGAGGGAAGAAAGAGTTCACCGATGAGACCTTCTATTGAGGAAGCGCCACAGCTGGACTTAAAACCACTACCACCTAACCTTAAGTATGCTTATTTAGGTGATAAGAAGACACTACCCATCATCATCTCAGCGACACTATCCTCGACTCAAGAGGATATGCTCCTAGAAACATTGAAGAAGCACAAGGGGGCGATAGGTTGGACATTGGCAGATATAAAAGGAATTAGCCCTTCACTATGCATGCACAAAATACAATTGGAGGAAGGAAAAGTTAAGTCCATTGAGCAACAAAGACGATTAAATCCCATGATGAAGGAGGTTGTTAGAAAGGAGATTCTCAAATGGCTAGATGCTGGAATAATTTATCCAATTGCAAATAGCAGCTGGGTCAATCCTATTCAATGTGTTCCGAAGAAAGGAGGGATAACAGTAATGGCAAAGGAGAACAATGAGTTGATCCCCACTAGAATAGTGAATGGATGGAGAATTTGCATGGATTATAGAAGGCTAAACAAAGCGACATGTAAGGATCATTTTCCCTTACCATTCATTGATCAAATGCTTGATAGGCTTGCTGGAAAGTCACATTATTGCTTCTTGGATGGTTATTCGGGATACAATCAAATTACAATCAATCCAGAAGATCAAGAGAAAACTACATTCACATGCCCATATGGAATTTTTGCCTTTAGACGAATGCCCTTTGGACTATGTAATGCTCCAGCGACATTTCAACGTTGCATGATGGCCATTTTTACAGATATGGTAGAAACAATTATGGAGATATTCATGGATGATTTTTCGGTTTATGGAGAATCTTTTGAGACTTGTTTGTGCAATTTAGGGAAGGTTCCACAAAGATGAGAAGAATCTTGTACTGAATTGGGAAAAATGTCATTTTATGGTCAATGAGGGAATAGTGTTAGGCCACAAGATCTCAAGAAGAGGAATAGAAGTTGATAGAGCCAAGATAGAAGCTATTGAAAGATTGAATCCACCTACGTCAGTTAAAGGTATAAAAAGCTTTTTGGGCCATGCAGGGTTTTATAGGAGGTTTATTAAAGATTTCTCCAAGATTGCAAAACCATTGTGTAGTTTGTTGGAGTCAAATAGAAAATTCGTTTTTGACAAACAATGCATGACTGCCTTCCAAGCATTAAAGACAGCGCTGACCACAGCTCCTATAATGTCAACACTCGATTGGAATTCACCATTTGAGTTGATGTGTGATGCTAGTGGCCATGCTGTGGGGGCAATGTTAGGACAGAAAAAGGGGAAGGTACTTCATCCTATCTATTATGCCAGCAAAACGTTGAATGAGGCTCAAGTGAATTATACAACCACTGAAAAAGAATTGTTGGCCGTAGTATTCGCTGTTGAAAAGTTCAGAGCTTATTTATTTGGAGCAAAGGTGAAACTGTACACTGACCATGCAGCAATCAAGCACCTAATGATGAAACCGAATGCCAAGCCAAGATTAATTAGATGGATTCTACTGTTACAAGAGTTCGAGATAGAAATCGTGGACACGAAAGGAGCTAATAACCATGTAGCGGATCATTTATCTAGAATGGAGAACATGGAAGAAAAGGTCAATAGCAAAGAAATTGATGATGCATTTCCGGATGAACAGCTGCTCGAGATAAACAGCAGTAGCAGCAGCTACAGCAGTAGCAGAATGACAGCAACTCCATGGATGCAGACATAGCAAATTTTTTGGCTTGTGCCATCATACCCGAAGAGAAAAATTATCAACAAAGGAAGAGGTTTTTCCATGAATCCAAAAGTTACATTTGGGATGAACCTTTTCTCTTTAAACAATGTGGAGACGGCATAATGAGAAGATGCATTCCAAACAGTGAAATACCAACAATTCTTGAACAATGTTATGCATCTCCATATGGAGGTCATTTTGGAGGGCAAAGAACAGCAGCCAAGGTATTTCAATCGGGTTTCTATTGGCCAACAATTTTCAAAGATGCAAAAGAATTTTGCAAGGGTTGCGATCAATGTCAAAGAACGGGAAATACAATTTTCAAAGATGCAAAAGAATTTTGCAAGCATTTTGGGCATTAAAGAAGTTAAATTTTGACTATACAACAAATGGAGACTTGAGGCGAATGCAACTAAATGAGTTGGAAGAATTCAGGTACCTAGTCTACGAAAATGCTAAGATGTACAAAGAAAAAACAAAAATGTGGCGTGACAACAAAATTAGGCCCAAAGAATTCTACATAGGACAAAGAGTGTTGCTATTCAACTCAAGGCTGAAGTTATTCCCTGGAAAATTAAAATCAAGATGGTCTGGTCCGTTTATAGTTGAAGAAGTCACTCCCTATGGGGCAATAACCATAAAACATGGAGACGAAAGGAGACCTTTCACAGTGAATGGACAGGGACTGAAGCCATATTTGGGTGGGGAAGTAAAAAGAGGCATTGCCTCTTTAAGCTTAAAAAGCTGAAAAATAAAACATTTTGGAGCAAACGGGAGCTGACAAGAAACGGTAACAGGTAACAAACTCCCGGGAAGCCAAGTTAGTTTTTCTTCTCCTTTTATTTATCCACTTTTAATTATTTTTAAATAGTTATCTTCACTTATCTTAGAATGATAGTTTTTTTTAGATGTTCTTTTACATTTTTATCATGAATGACTCGCATGCCCCCAAGAAAGTAGCTAATTTTTTTTTTGGAGATGAATTAGGTGGATTCTGATGTGGTTAACAAAGCTAATTTCAAAGTAGTAAGGAGGTTAATTACATTTGGTACATACTAAGTCAAAGTTATTCTTTTTCGGTGTATGCTGCCATGAAGTACCGCGTTCTTCTTCATTTGCATGAATTTGATCTAATTTGTGTGTGCTTTCTCACAAAACCTCAAGTCAAAGCACCAACACAAAACGATGACATCAAGGGATATCAAACAAGAAAAAGGAAAACTTTGGAAACAAAAAAAAAAAAAATTATTAGTAGCTTGCTGTCAACTCGACAGCAAACTGCTGTTCTACCTAAACTACAGCAGCCTGCTGTGGAAATGACAGCAGACTGTGCTGTAGCTGCATACAGCAACCTATCTTCCTTTGTGTAAAAAAAAAAAAAATTTGACAGCAATCTGCTGTATTTAATGAATACAGCAGTCTGCCATGATTATTATAATAAAAAAAAATTTAAATTTTAAAATTTTGACAGCAATCTGCTGTATTCAATGAATACAACAGTCTGCCATGTTATTAAAAAAAAAACAAAAAAAAACTTCCCCAAGAAGTCATTCCTTGTGTTATATACAAATTACTTCCACAAGAAATAACCTTCACCTTCACACTCCAAGCAACCAAGAAAAAAAGAAAAAAAAATAACTTTTAGCTTGCAACCGACAATCATGGCACTGAGAACAAGAGAAAAAAAAATGGTGCGAGGGAAGGAAGAAGTGCAGCAAGATGAAGTGCAAGAAATAAATCAAGATCTCTTCCTAACGGGCACCGGTTCGAAACGAAAAGAAAAGGGCAAGAACAAAATGGAGAACCTCCCAACACAAAAAGGAATATTCGCAAACGAGGAGGCGTACAACAGGTATGAACTCTTCAAGTCAAGAGTAGTGTTGGTGGAAAGAAGGTTCCCAACATTTTACCCTACATTCCCGGAGTCCTTTCTTAACGCCATCAACGATCTAGGGTGGGAGATGTTCTATCACAAAAGGGAACAAGCTATAGTGCCGATAGTGAAGGAGTTTTACGCAAATATTGATCAAGTGGAAGGATACATAACATTAGTAAGAGGAAAAATAGTTGAGTGAAGCCCTAGAGCCATCAACCAACTGTTTCATCTACAATCTTTTGAGTATGCCACCTTCAACGAAATGGTGCTAGCCCCATCGGATGATCAACTTGAGATGGCCTTCAAGATGGTAGCCATAGAAGGAACACGGTGGTAACTCTCGAGAGGAGGAGCAAGGACGATAATAGCAGCAGACCTCAACCCCGAAGCGAAAGTTTGGGCTGCCTTCATAAAAACCAACTTACTACCCACTACACATGATACTACATTGTTAGCTGATAGAGTTTTACTTGTGTATGCAATCATAATGAATTTGAGCATCGATGTGGGCAAGATTGTAGCGGATGAGATTGTCAAATGTGCAAGTAAGAAAGTGGGGAGGCTGTTTTTTCCACAGCTGATAACCATACTGTGCCTGGAGGCTGCAGTCCCTTTTCATGAGGAAGAAGAAAGACTTGAGGCAAGGACTTTGATGGACGACATAGAAACCCATAGGGATGGCGCCAACAGTGGCAAAAGGAGGGACAGCAGAGCAACAGACGATATGGATCAACTGCTGAAACAGCAAGAGGCTTTACTTAGCTGGTGTGAAAATAGTGAAGGGAGTTGTAAGGCGTTTTGGTCTTATGTCAAAATGAGGGATGAGGAAATACATAAAACCTTAAGAACCAAGTCAAAAAATGCAGCATTCCCAAGTTTTCCAGACGAAATTTTTAAAGAGTGGAGCTGCAAAGAATCATCGCATGTAGTAGAGGAGGAAGATAACACTTCCTCTAATGATGCCTAAAATCAAGGGAATTCTCTTACCACACCTTTTATAACCTTGCTGTCTGATTTACCTTGCTGCCTGATTTAGAAGCATACATCCTTATGTTGTGTTTGTTTTTGTTGTGTTTGCTTTGTTGTGTTGACTGCATATAATTTTGAATCATGCTCATGCATGCAACCTAGAAACATGAAGCTTTAGAGGGGGTAATAGATCGTGCATATTTTGTTTCATATGTAGTCATGATGTTTTGTGCAAGAACTAGGGATGTATTGTCAAATGCCTTACGGATAAATAAAACAGTAAAGGTGAGTGGTGTTAAGGAAATTGAAGCTCACATTGAAGAGTATTCATCAAAG